TCGGGTTGGGTCGGGTTATTGGTTACCCTGTAAATCCGCCCCAACCCGACACATAGCAAACTAGAAAAAAAAAAAAAAGAAGCCTTGAAAACAAAAAACGTGTATAAGGTCTCTCCCTCACATTTCCATTGCCCTGAAAGAAAACCGTAGTCTCCTCCAATCCATCACAAAGCCCAACGGCGGCTTTTTTTCTTCGGCCTCTCTCGCCGCCAGGGGACCTAACGCTAGTGTTTTTTTTTTAAAACAAGGTGAGTTTTTAACTTTTTTTAAACCTGATTGACTTTTCATATAGTATTTGAAAATGTGGTTATAACTTTTTATTCTTGTTTTTGTTATTCTTAATAATGCGTATGTTTTGTAATATTTTTCTGGACTTGTGTTGATGAATTTCAACTGTTTTGCAATGTTTTGATTTTCTTAGGAATTGGGCAGTCGAAAATGGCTGGAAAACATTAAAAAAAATCCAACTGTTAATATAGGTTTTAGTTTGATTCTTGCATTCTCTCTTGGGTGCATATGCAGTCAATTTAATTTTTTTCTCAAAGTTCCATCGTAGGAAAGAGTAGCATTATTAATCTGTAGATTTTAAAGACCTTGTAGAAAAATTACCAACTGATTATGCTTAATTACTTAAGTAGTAAGTTTAGGCGTTTATTGGTAATCATAGTTCCATTTCAATTTATCCACAGTTGAAGTTTATGCTTGATTTTGCTTCCTTATCCTGTCGAAAATGAAGAAATACTGTATCTTGGACCACATTTAGAAAGAAACTGAAACACAAATTTCTAAAAATTATTTATCACCCTAGACAGAATATCTCGAGATGAATTGTGAGATACCTCAATCAAGGTTCATATAACAAATTTTTTGAATTTTCAAGATAAAAAACTAAAAAAGCAGAAAATAATTTTTTTTAATAGTAGTGAGAGCATCTCGTAGTCCATTACAAGAATAAAAAACTAATATGAATTAAAGAAATTATAAATTAAAACCTCAAAAATTAATTGATATCAAAGTTTAATATGGTCCTTACAAAGACTATTTTTACTCCACTTAGTGCTGTTGATGTCAATTCACAAGCCTGTGAGAGACCACTATGGGTCGAAACCTAGACGAAATAGAATGGGTTTTCCACTAGTACCTACTTGAGTCGGCTTAATGGTCCATTTATGAATAATATACGAATTAATTCCAAAGCGAGAATTTTCAATTTCTTTCCCCCCTCCAGTTAATCAATAATTATCCGCCGTTCTTATTCTTGAATTGCTTTATCTGCCTCCATTTTTTTTTTTGAGGTGTAAAATTAACTGTCCTTGTCAGTATAAAATTACCAGGCTTAGTGCCGTAGACCATTTCAGGTGAGCGAGCCTCTTGCAAGTTATGCTTCTGAATCAGTACATTTTTTGATTGTTTGATTTTGTTATTTTTGTTGAATAATAGCCTACTTTTTGGTTTGATCGAATTGGATGCGTAAAGCTCCAGAAAGTTGAAAGTCTAGTAAAGCAATACACCACTTTCTCTTGGAGCAGATTAACTGTTTGATAACATGTTTAAATGGGATTGACTGCTTTTTATCTATTAGTATACATATTTGTGGACCCAAAGTTCACGAGACATTATTTTTATATCAATTACTAATATAATTTATCATTTCTGCGTCTGCATTTTATATGGTCTATGTTCGTTTTGCTTCACCCTCAGATTTGGTTCGTTGGTGCATATTGAACTAGGTGCTAATCATAGTTGTCAAATAGGCAAATTGCCTATAAACAAGGTGGATTACAATGTGTTTGGATAGCAATGGCCCGGGGGGTGGATGGATTTAGTAAAATTGGAAGGAAAATATAGGAAAGGTGAATTTTTTTCGGGTTAATTTCACAAATGGTCACTGAAGTTATCTAAAAATCACAAAACGGTCACTGAAGTTTAAAACTTTTAGAAACGGTCACTGAATTTTCATGTGCTTTCACAAACGGTCACTGAAGTTTCAATTTCTTTCACAAACGGTCATTGAAGGCCCGTTATGATTTAAATTCAAACTTAAATGCCCAAAACACATGAACATGGAACAGTAAGGACCTTAAGTGCAAATTTCATCTAAAAACAAAAACAATATAACTCCAACGGATTGTCGAAATTTCGTCCCAAATTCGGAAGCTCGCACATGACATCTCTGCCAGCCGCCACTTTGGGACAAAATTTCACCACTTTTCGGCCACCAAATCCTCCGGACCAACACATCACCTTGAAGACCTCGCTGTCCTCTACGTAACCCATCCAAGAATCACCCCTAACTCAGTCGGATTTGGTCGAAATTTCGTCCCAAAATCGGCCGCTCGCACAGGACAGCACTGCCATCCGCCACTTTGGGACAAAATTCCGGCGAAATCCGACTGATTTAGGGATGATTTTTGGGTGGGTTGCGTAGAGCACGGCGAGGGCTTCAAGGTGGTTTGTTGGTCTGGTGGTTTTGGTGGCCGAAAAGTGGTGAAATTTCGTCCCAAAGTGGCGGATGGCAGTGCTGTCCTGTGCGAGCTGCCGACTTTGGGGCGAATTCCGCCCAAATCCTACGGATTCATGGGCGATTCTTGGGTGAGTTGCGTAGAGCACGGCGAGGGCTTCAAGGTGGTGTGTTGGTCCGGTGGTTTTGGTGGCCGGAAAGTGGTGAAATTTCGTCCCAAAGTGGCTGCGGCAGTGCTGTCCTGTGCGAGCTCCCGACTTTGGGACAAAATTCCGGCGAAATCCGATGGAGTTAGGGTCGATTCTTGGGTGCGTTACGTAGAGGGTAGCGAGGGCTTCAAGGTGGTATATTGGTTTGGCGACCATGGTGGCCGGAGGTTGGAGTTACAGTTGTCCAAAGGTGGTGGGTTGAGAAGGGAATGGTTTTTAGATGAAATTTGCACTTGAGGTCCTTACTGTTCTATGTGTTTTGGTCATTTAAGTTTGAATTTAAATCATAACGGTCCTTCAGTGACCATTTGTGAAAGTAATTAAAACTTCAGTGACCGTTTCTGCAAGTTTTAAACTGCAGTGACCGTTTTGTGATTTTTAGGTAATTTCAGTGACCATTTGTGAAATTAACTCCTTTTTTTCTGTATTTGACTTGGGGAAGTGTTTCTTGTACGTTGAATCTTTGATGGTGGAGCTTTTCTCAAACATTTTTCTGTATAATTTCGACGATGATAGATATGATGTCAGCTTTCTCATATTTATATACAAAATATTCTGTTATTCCATGCATTTCTGGTATATTTTCTTAGCATCAACTCAAATTTTCTCAAAAGATCGGTCACCAGGCCCGGTTTTGGGCTCTTGGCAAATGAGGCCTATGCCTTAGGGCCAATTTAAAAGGGGCCCAGTTTTTTTTTTTTTTAATGGAAAAATTCTGATTTAAGGGCAATTCCTACCTTTCCGTTCTCTCTCATTCTCTCTTGTGTCCAGCGAAGAATACCACCGAAGCAATCAGAGACAGCTCTTTCTGCACACCTTAGCCTCTTACCTCGAGTTTCAACACTAATCAAATCTCCTATATCAAGTTGAGTCATGATTCATGAACAATACCCTTGCTTTATAATCCTGTTTTCCATTTCATATACATATGCTTGCTTCTTTTATAAATTCTGTTCAAACTTTTAACATTGTACTTTGGCAGTTTCAGACTCTTCCAGTTTTATGATGTTTGTGTGTGTATTTCATGTGCTGTAAATTTGTAATATTGTTTGATTAGTAAAAGAATGTTGATTGATTTGAGACTACGGTGTTTGATGAAATGTCAAATTGCTGAAAATGCAATATTATGCTTCCATATGATGTGTTTTTTTTGGCTTTTGTTTCTGGATTTTGACAAATGGTTTAAAAGTCATTTTTCCTTAAAAAGAGATGTGGAGCATCTTGTCCTCAGTGATGATGTGGGTAAGAAAGAAGGAATTTACATTGATTCTATTTTAATTTAAGTGAATTTGTTTTTCCTTTTCTTTCCTTAAGGTGGGGAGGACGGGATATAAAGGGGTACAAGATACAGAACTTTTACTGTTATGAAGAAAAGATGTCAATGAACAATCTTTGTTGGTGTACATTGCCTTAGTGGCTTGAGATTTAATTTAAGTGAGAGAAAGTCTCGGTCTCTGTTTGGGTGTTGTAGAAGTTGGAAAGACCACTTGAATGGAGCATTGTGCTCCATCTTGTTATCTGGATACTTTGTTACCTCTCTATACTAGAATTAGGAGAGGATTATAAGTTCATCTAACTAATTCATTTGCCTAGTGGTTATTATATGACAGTTGCTTGAATTTTACTCTTAAATTCATCTAACTAATTCATTTACTCTTAAATTTTAAGTTAACAAATTAACAATTGATTCCAAAATACACTTATAGATTTTGCATGCATACTACAATTTTGGGGGCCTAATTTATGTAGTTCACTTCAGGCCCCCAAAATCACATGACCGGCACTGTGAGTCGCGACCAGAAATGATCTCTTTAGATAGTCTCTCTGCTATAGCAAGGAAGCATAGCTACTGAAACTCTCATTCGTTATTTTTGTCTTGCTTATATTCAGGGTTGGGTGAGCGAGTTCATATAATAACAAAAACCACACCCATCATAATTAATATGTCAAATGGTTGTTAATTTCTTTCATAAATCGTTGTATTTAGATGAAAATGACAATCCAGGGTTGATTTATCGTACTGTTTTACTAGTTGTTTAAAATCTTATTTTACTTAGAAGTTATCTGAGTTCACTAGTTTCTTATTTGTTGAGGTGATATTTACTGGGGGAAGTTTCTGATTTGCTAACACAATGTAGAACCCAATAGCACAAGCAAAATTTTTAATTGAGGGATCTGTGAGGATCAGGGACATCTGCCTGTCTTCTTCATAGTTTGCCTATCAACTGAGGGCTGATTTGAGCATCACACCTATCAAGTGACTAAGCATTCCAATGTCTTTGGAGGTTCAAAGATATGGGAATTTCCAAGCGACTAGAAAGTGAACAGAGATGTGGTTACGCAGTTTGAAATCCCTCCCGTGTTTAGAACGTTTTACAAAATTCTCAAGATCGCCATGGCTTCTCCAAGCCTGTTCTTATTCAGATGTTTCTTCCAAGAAAACAAAACTAGCACCATTACAGGTAATCCCCCCAGCTTCCACTCTCTCTCTTCCCTTCGACCTCTGTCTGTGCATGCACATCATGTATGCAATTAATTTATTGAATTTTTTAATACGTATTATGATTTCCTCTATTACGTTGCAGGAGCGAAGAATGATAGACCAGTTCAGGTTATGGGCTAAAGGAGGTGATGGAGGCAATGGTTGTTGCAGCTTTCGTCGTAGCCGTCATGATCGCCGCGGTAGACCTGATGGTGGGTTTCACTGACAAGTAATTGCTGGATATGATTTTAATTTTCCATGCTGTTTAGATTTTCACTGACTTGGCAATTTTTCTGTAGTCACTTGGTGTTAGGGCTTTTGTCTAATTTATTCTCGATATGATGCACATTGAGTTGAATCATTTTTCATCTTTCTTGTAGAATTTAAGTTCAAGAGCATGTAAACTTTTGATATTGCAAAGTTGTGCTATCCTTGAGTAGTTATAGACAAAAGAAAAATGATACTAACAAGGAAGAAGTTTCTCTTGCTTTTTCTAGATATCAGATAGAGCTTAAAATCCTGCAAGGAGTAATACGTACAAGTTATTATAGTTTTGTCTCTTCCCTAGAACATCTTCTTGATTAAAATTGAATAAAGAAAGATATAGGATCAAAACGAGGGCAATTTGCTACTGTCAACTTTCATGATTTCTCTCCTGATTTTGATGTGTGGCGTAACACAGGTGGGAATGGTGGAAGAGGTGGCGACGTGATCCTAGAATGCTCTGCAGCAGTTTGGGACTTCAGCTGTCTGCAACATCATATTGTATGTTACCTGTTACCACATCATTGCATTATGATCATCTTCACACTTCGTCTACCTTGGTAGTGTGTGTACGAGGACATTTATGTATTGGCTTTCCACTGTGTAAAGCTTGTATTAATTGTACTTCAAAAATGGCCCAGAATGCAAGGAGAGGGGGAAATGGGGCTTCAAAAAATATGATAGGAAGCCGAGGAGCTGATAAGGTTATACTTATATATCAGTTCATCTTGTTAGGTTTCAGCTCCTATCTGTTTGTAGCTTATAAATTAAGGAAGAATGTCGACTGAAAACTTGTTTATGTGTGTATATGGTAGGTTGTTCCGGTTCCTGTTGGTACTGTAATTCATCTTTTAGAAGGTGAAATTCCTTCTTCAGTTGAGGAGAAATCTTCTGGATCCTTGGACCCCTGGGACATTCCTGGTACACTTGATTTTGATTCGTGTGATTATTCTCAACAATCTCCTTCTACAGACAGAATCGTGAAGGTGGAGAAAATAGACAGTACTAGTGAGGGCTTAGCTACTTCATATAAACCAAACGTCAAAGAATCAGCTCGTACTTCACCAGTTGAAGTTTTTACTCAGTTCTCACCTTCCAAAGATAAATCCAGGACTCAACATGAAGCTCATGATTTTACGAAGGAAAAAAGCTGTAGTGACTGGGAGGATTGGGCCGGTAACAGTGATGCATCTGGACCAGAATGTGAAGAAGATGTGGAGGAGACAGAACTCGTACAAATTAATGTTGCGGAGTTAACAGAGCCTGGCCAACGAATAATTGTTGCCCGTGGAGGGAATGGTGGCATGGGCAATGTGAGTTCTGCCAAAGGTACTAAGATGAACAAGGATAACAACTTCAATGTTGAAGTTTCTGATGACGATGACTTTGCATCACTTAATATTGGTTTGCCTGGTTCTGAAGCTGTCTTTCTGTTAGAACTGAAGAGTATTGCCGATGTTGGACTTGTAGGTATGCCAAATGCTGGTAAAAGTACTCTTCTTGGGGCTATATCTAGGGCTAAACCCACAGTAGGTCATTATGCCTTCACAACCTTACGGCCTAACTTGGGGAACTTAAATTATGATGATATTTCGATTACTGTGGCAGACATTCCGGGGCTCATACGAGGAGCTCATGATAATCGTGGCCTTGGACATGCTTTTTTGCGCCATATAGAACGCACTAAAGTTTTGGCTTATGTGGTAGACTTAGCTGCGGCCGTAGATGGTAGAAAAGGCATTCCACCATGGGAACAACTAAAAGATTTGATATTGGAATTAGAGTCCTATCGTAATGGTTTGTCCAATCGACCATCATTAGTAGTGGCAAACAAAATTGACGAGGTGGGGACTGAAGAAGTGTATGAAGAATTAAGACAAAGGGTGCCTGGTGTTCTTATTTTTCCGATTTGTGCTGTTCTCGAAGAAGGAATACCAGAGTTAAAAGCTGGTTTGAAGATGCTTGTCAATGGAGAGGAGACATCCAGATTAAACTTAGACGGTATAATGACTGACTGGGTGGTCAATATTCCTGGAGTTTAGTGACTGTAACCAACTCTCGCCAGTCAGGGATCACACTCAGAACCAGTTCATTTTTGTTATTTTCATCAATGTATCAGGATGTCAGAAACTCAGACAATCTCTGGTTAGTATTTTATTTTCACGGTGGTGTTCATGAAGGATGTTAGTAAGATTAGGATAATTTATACATAAATACTGGCTGGCATGGGTCGCAGGCCTCTACAGTTAACCTCACCACTGCCTGGATGTAGAGGTGGGTCCATACACGACACAACTTGTGATGGACCAGTAGGCCGTGCCGCCCTAAGCCTAGCTGGCCAGCACATATCGATATCTCTACTTGCAGAAGTCCCAGAATTTCATGAGGCTTAGCTTTCCAAGTAAGAGCCTGAGAGGCACTATTACTAGAGGGTAAAACATGTACAGCCCAGTACTCAATTTATATTTCTTCTGTTTTTGCTTTTGAGCCTCAAACAGTGTGACTGAAATTATAGTACCTGTTGAAGAAAACAAATCCTGGAACAACTGAAAGGAGATCATATTATTGTGATTTATGAGTTAATGGACTTCTTTCATAACACACTAATGGCTCCTTTGGTGGGGCTTTTGAGAAATCAAAAGCTTTATTTGAGCTATGGAGTTGCTTTCGGATTTATTTGAATAATTTTTTGGAAGTGTCTTCTAGTTGAAAGAGTTTATAAGCAAGCTGGTCAGTGGTTTATTCAGGAAGTTCTCTTACTAAAAACAAAAGGCAGAAGCAGAAGTTCTACCAAATGGGCTTTAAAAAAGACTTTTCCTTTAGGCTTATAGCTAATGATTTTGTGTCGAATTTTGTTCGTACAAGACGGAATACCAAGACTCCAATGGATCTCAAACAATTAGGAGGTTCATTTTATTCTCTTCTCGTGGGAATAGAGGTGTAAAATGGTCTGGCTACAGGGCTGGCACGTATTTTCTATTAAAAAAGAAGCCCAGCACGGCTAAAACAATTTTTTACATGTCATTCGTGTGCTTGCTTTGTTGATTTCTTTAACTTTTGCAAGTGAATTGGAAGAGAATGAAACAAAAATAACATTTCCAACCTTCTCCCTTTTAAGAATGGACATGTTAGTCTACAGTTGCTTCTCCTTTCGGTTGTTAATTAGTGTGGTGGCTCTCCCATCTAATTGTTACAACAATTTAATATATATGCACGTGGATTTCCTCCACGTTTTGTAGAAACTAGATTGAACAAAGACCTTGGTCCGACTCTTCCAAGAAGTTCATGATTTTTAAAATTAAATAAGATTGTCTTTGTGAAATTTTTTCTTGTTTTGACTGTTTTGTCTGATTCCACGTTATGAACAAAATCAAATCTTTTGCAACCTTCTATCTTCTAAAAATTCAAATGCAAGAGGCCCAAGTATTGCATTGTTAAGTCTTGTGATCTGATGTAGTTTTCTGAGTGCACATAAATTTTTATAATAGGTGAGATTCAAACTCACTTCTAGCTATAAGTGTTGAAGGCTCGAGGATCTTTCCTCCAATCCGTTGCTTGGCTAGGTTGCATCCCTAACTCGAACTCAAGACTTGTGCATATAACGACATTGAACGCTGCTATAAGAAAACTTAAGTTTTTATGTAGAAATTTTTTTACGCTTTTTGGCATTGTTATAAAAGTCGGGGAATATCATTTGAAATGACTCGACTGCTCGATTGTGTACTCTTCACCAACCACCACTAATAGTCTATACTATCAATAAAAATTTGCAGTAGGATATTGAGGGGTGGGGGCCTGATGACATATTGACTATAATATGAAATTATTGTTTCATGGGATGCAAGTTTCAGTTTTGAGGAAAGCAAACATAAAGAGCTCCACGTGATCCCTTCAAGAGAAAAATAAGAAGATAGAAATAATTAAACTTTCCCTTATCATTTGGCGGGATCCACCTTAGACTTTTTACTTGTATTTAAAACCAGGCCAGGTCAATAAGACCTCGTAAACCCTTCACGGATTCTTGTCACTACAGACACATAGAGGAAGAAATGGGAAGGCCTCCTTGCTGTGATAAAGTCGGTATCAAGAAAGGACCATGGACTCCGGAGGAAGATATAATATTAGTTTCCTATATCCAAGAACATGGTCCGGGAAATTGGCGATTAGTACCTACCAACACTGGTATCTTCGACTCTTGAATCTTTGATCTTTAGATTTTCTGATCAAGATTTGTTCATGCATAGAAAGACAGTTCAGTTGAGTTATATGTGTGTGATTTGGATCTTGTTACACATTGTAATGGATCAAAGTTCTTTGCTTGTTCAGGTTTGTTGAGGTGCAGCAAGAGTTGCAGGCTTAGATGGACTAATTACTTGAGACCTGGAATCAAGAGGGGGAACTTCACTCCACATGAAGAGGGGATGATAATCCATCTTCAAGCCTTATTGGGAAACAAGTAATGTTTAAAATCTTCAAACCTATCTCAATTGTCCGTGATATTTTCCGGCCATCTGAGATCATTTCCTTAGTAGTTTGATAGTGTAATTGGCGCGTAATTCTTCTTTTCTTAGATGGAAAAGTTACAAAAGTTGTATTATTCCTTTTGGTGTTGTTCGTCATCGTCTAATAGTTTTGTTTTTTGGACAGATGGGCAGCTATAGCTTCATACCTTCCTCAAAGAACAGATAATGATATCAAAAACTATTGGAACACTCATCTGAAGAAGAAGATCAAGAAATTTCAATCAGGTTTGGATACACCATTGGCATCCGATTTGACAACTTATCGATTTCTGTCCACAAGTTATAACGAAAGGGGCGTCGACACTGGCAGCCGGCATGACTCATCAAGCGATGTCAAGTTAACTGAAAACTCTAATTCGATATATGCCTCAAGCGCGGAGAATATATCCCGACTACTCAAAGGATGGATGTCATCTCCCAAGATCGATCCTCAAAACAATCCCACTGCTAAATGTTGTGAGGGTACTGCTACTACTACTGCAGAATCACTTCATTACTATAGATTGAAGGTTGATCAGCAAGAGGGCAATAAAGTAATTCCAGGTGATGAATATGAATCCATTTTGTCATTTGATCAAAACAGAAATGGATTAGCATGTGACAAGTCATCTTGTGATTCTAGTCAAAAGGGCTCTGAAATGAGTGGAAATGATGAAGAAAAAGTTAAATTTGATGTGCATGTGCAGAAGCCAAAAATGGAAAATAATCCTCCTTTGTCATTCCTTGAGAATTGGCTGCTGGATGAATCTGCAAATCATGAAGTGGAAGAAGTTATGGGACTCTCACCAATATTCTAGCTCATTTTCTGTTAAATTAGCACTTAATTTGCTAGATGATCAGTCCCTTAGTGTATGAAGAGAATATGATCCCAAAATGAAAGGATCGGTCTTTGAAACAAATCTTGTTCTAGGGTTCCAAAAAGTTGGATCTCTCTATTACCTCTTTCCTTGAAAACTGTAACTTTTATTTTCTGCAGGACTTTGAAGCTCTTTCCATCTTTGTCATCTTTGATTTTCTGTTGATATATTTTCATCATGTTGAAACTTAAACCACTTCATTTAAAAGTTCACCGCTCATTCATTGTAAACTTTACAAATTTTCGCCAATTTCGTTCAAAAACCTTGCCCAAGAACTTGTATAGTGAAGGATTTCTCACTAACCTTAGCACGATTTCTTATGTGAGACTACATTAAATTAACTCGTTCTAAAGATGAAACATTATATTGGTGTATGAGTTTTGCTATTCGTTCAGGGGACGGACAGACCCCAGCCAATAGGGGGGTGCCACATGCGCCCTGGAGGGACAGGGCCAATGTAGCGAAACCCATTCGTGTATTATGTTTCACATTTCATAAAATGGATGAGAGAAAAATAAAATAAAATTCAAAGGCATTGATAACGGGTTGCATCAACTGATTAGAGCATATAGTTGACATTTACTATGCATTTCTGATGCCAATCAATCTCGAGTTTCACGCCATTGTAGCCACAACGATTTGGGCCGACGAATGGAGATGGTGACACGCCATTAAATTGGTGAAAAGCAATATCCTAATGTCAATTTTGGTTTGCAATTTTGAATAATACTCTTCACTATTATTTAATACTGTGCAAGAAACACGAAATAAATAGATAGCCATTGAAAGGGACTATAGCATATGCTGGAATTGTCAATAGCCATACAATTTCTTCTCCTGTTTATGCAATGGGCTCAACATGCATGTGCTTAGACATATCACACCATTGAAAATTCAAGTTATCAGTCTCAAATATTCGTGTCTTATCACCTCAAGTACTTAACAAGTTTCAAGTGTGTATTTTATTTAAATTATGTGACACGTCGGTAGACTCAGATACGTAACGAAATCAACTATCCCATTGGCCTACCATGGACATAAATAAGTTGGTTGTAGGGACATAGCCTCTACAGTAAGGTACTATATTGTAACATACTTTTGGAATCAAGTTTTATATAAACAACCTTACGTTACCTTTTCAGATTTGAAATTAGTGGATTATTTGAGCCGTAAACAAGTGGACATTAGGCATACTGTCAAATCACTTAAAATTTCTATATGTCGATCTTCTTGTTCTTCTTTTCACTTTTAATGTTCTGTTTCGTACAATAACTCATATGACTAATTTTCACGGATGATGACTCCACATTTACACTCTAAACCATATTTGGTAAGTAGTACTCGGTTGAATCGTATTTTTCCTTACTTAATGTTGTTTAATTCTTTACAATTCATTTTACTAAACATATGTTGAAAACGTTGTTATGATTTTTACAATAAGAGCATGCCCATATTGGACGGGTACAGTGTCACGGAAGTCTTGCTACTGAATATTAGTAAATGTTTCTTGTTTCTTCACATATGATCTGACTTAAGAGGGAATTGCATGTGAATTCTTTACCTTTCGGTATGGAAACTTGAATGCTGGATCATGTAATTATACGAAATTGCTTACATTTTTATAGTTCAGTTGGTTTAATATTTTTCGGGAGCATTTTTATGAAAATTTTACATGTCAATGTATCAATAAAAATGAACTATATCTAAATTTATTGGATATGCTAAAGACCCGATAATTGGTATGAATAAAATTTCAATTCGACATTTGTGACTTTGAAGGAATTCGTCGCTTTTTTCGTAAGTTTATTTGAATTTATTTTATAAGATCGTTGGCATCAATAAAATGGATTTTTAATAGATTTTGACTGCAACAATGATAAATTAAATATTGTGACCATATAATTCTAAGAATACAAAATAAAATCAATAATTTGTCACCACCGCATATTTGGGTGATTATAATTGTTTCCCTCTCTACAGGAAAGCCATTTATTGAGTGTGGTGACGCAAAAATGAGTTTTACAAAATTTATTAGGCCGCTTTGGGCTTTGTTTGGCGTTTTTACATAAATGCCTCTTTTATTTCACAAGAGATTAAAGGCTCATTTAGAGATGGTAGCTGGGTGGGTTCGACGCCCTGTCCTTGCCCCATCCCGCCTTGCCTTAGATGGGCAGGGTCGGGGTGGGGGCCTACCCCGTTTCCTACCCCCCATTTACCAAAAATTTTCAGCTAAAATACAAATTCAAAATTTTAAAATTCAAAACAAATAATATTCAACCTAACTACATCAATATTCAAAGCAAGCACTCGAAATAAACAATATCCAAAATTAACATTTATAATTAATTATTTTTTTATTATTCTTCACGGGGTGGGGCATGTCTGCCCCGCCCCTCCCCGAGACGAGGTGAATTTTTTTGCCATCACTAGGCTCATTTGATAGTGCTTTTACTTCTACTTCTAATTTTTGTTGAAAAGTTTCATGAGTAAACTACTTTAGGTTAACTTTCTTTAAAATATCTCTAATCAAGCCCCTATTTGTTTTCTCTATTAAGCAGATTTTTTACAGTTGGTGAGTCGCAATAGTGGACAATTTTGTGTCATAGTGGAATCCACTTTTTTGAAAAAAAAATGGTAAAAAAATTGATTTTCTTGTTGAAATAATGTGAAACAAACGGACCAAATACAACATTTTCACAAAATTATCCAAATATATTCATTAGCATTTTATTTTTTTAATCTCAAAAACAAATTCTGTCTCCTCAAAAGCCTTGTCAACGTCACTTGAATGTCTTCACTAAGTTGAAAATTATTTTGAAAAAATGAAAATACAAAAAACTTCTTGGGGGCAACAGTCATCATGATAATTCTTTTGTATTTGTTGAACTTGACAAACTAGTGATCATCTTTCCTCTTTTGATTGATCTCAAGTCGTCAAATCTAATTGTCAATATAGAGGACTTTATATGTAGTTTGTATGTGATCCATCGTTTCACCTTCTCTGTGTTCCAAAAAAACACGATTGTCCTAAAGATCCACAAAAACCATCTGAAAAAAACTAAAAACTCACAACCCTAAAAACAATATTAAAATTTCGGTGGTTATATTCGTGCCACAATTTTTATTTTTATTTTTTAATAAATACACCACATTTTGATTAAATTCAAGGTCATTAACATTTATTAATTATCACACTTATATTCTTAATTTTTTTCTTCATCACATTCTTATTTTTAGCATTTCATTGATCAGAAAATCTCGTTCTTAATCATGATTTTCGTACAAAAATATTGTTACTGTTCTTTAAAAAGAGGATCAAATATTTAATTGCATTTTGCATTATTATTTATTTTACTTATTTACAAATACAATGAATAAATGAGTCTTTGTACTCAACTTTAAAGAAAATTTTGAAGGGACGTCATAATCAGGAACAAATTATATTAATTTGAGAATAAGAATACGATGATAAAAAATTTGAAACATAAATATGATAATTTGTAAAGATTATGACCTTTTATTCAATTAAAATTTAATCTAATTATTAAAAAATTTGGTGCCCCATCACTTTCCAAATTATATTTATTAAAGGTACCTAACAATAGTAATGGGTTGGCCGTTGGCATGCATGTGACATAAAAGCCACTTCATACAGTAGGGATCCCCATGATTATATACCTATTATCTTTAACATTTTTTTTTTTTTTGCTGAGGGACAAGAGTACACACGTCTAATCCCTTTAAATAACACGTGTCACACAATCAAGTGGCCATGTACACAGCAGCGTTGGCCCCGGTGTGTGTCCGAATTTGGGATAGGCCTCTAGCCACACAAAATATCCTATGCTCCACTTTGTTTTATCAAATTAACTATTAAAATTAACAATAAAATGATTAATTGAATGCCTTGTGAGACCTAGATCACAAGCTCGAATAGAACGATAAGTTGTATACATGTTTTGAATTAAACAAATCACGTTAGTGTTAACTTTTACAGGCAGATTGGAAGTAATTACGGAAAATAGACACGTAATTCTAACATTTATCCTTAAAAGTCACAGGAATTTATGTTTCCCAAGTTTTAGTTTGAGGGTACAGGCTTTTGATCATCCCAATTTCAAAACGATCTAGATGTCTAGACTTTGAAAGGGCGCCACACGAAATGTTGAACCTAAGCTCAACTGCTCAAGTATTCTCTTTATTTCTATATTATCCAAATATTCACCTCGTTTTCGATCAAAATGAGGTTTAGGTTTAACTATTTTACAACCTTAATTAATTTGAGTTGAATTAGTCTAAACGTACCGAATGAAGGGTACCGAATGGTGTCCCTCCTCTCATTATGCGCGCAGGCCTCGTGTATTTAAAAATTTCGGCTTGTGATCAGTGATCATCATCTCCTAATGTGAGTGGGGTGTAAAAAATTTGGTATAAAAATTCGGTAATATAGCATAACCTATTTGAATTTTAACCAAGAAAACAAAGTATGTAACAACTCGATATATTCGAAGTCCTCCCCACCCCCTAGAGAGACATGGTGAATGATTTGGGGGCTTTTTGATTAATCAACATTTCCTAGGATTTAATAACCTCCTTTTCGGCCTACAAATTAGGATTAGAGTGTCGGTCCATTGCAATAAGAAAATGAAAAGTTAATTAATTTGATGTGATGCAACTGACGTTACTGACCCTCATATTGTCGAAAATATTGGGCACGTAGGGACTCTATATTAATTTCAGAAAACAACAATTAAATTGGATATAATTTCCTCTCTTCTTTTTAATCATTTTCTCCTTCTTTTTTCCTATGAAAAAGATAATTTTGTAAATAAAAATTCTTATGAGATTTTTCACCATCTTCTTTTTCATGGTTTCCTCCAATTTTTCTATAAAGAAAGATCAATTTTTTTATTAAAATTTTATAAATATAAAATTGATTT